CTGAGTGCCTGTGTGCCTCATATGATACATTAACCTAAATAAATGCAGGGGTGATTTCAGACCATTTTTTGGGGTGCTGAAGCACATTTTGTCCACATAACTTTTTGAGAGCATTTGTTTAAAACGTTCCTAAAAACAGCTTGCACAAAGAAATGTTAACAACAAATGAAAATGCTTTGAGAAGGTCGATTTGCACAATAAGAAAACATGCAATGCAATATAGTTTTCCCTCATATAATAAATACATTTTCACCGTAAATTGGAGCAGAAAATGTCTCCAGAATGCAGGAAAACTTTTAATGCTCTAAATTTTCTGGTTAGCTGTTTTTTGCCAAAGGAAACAGAGACCAATGTTTCTTTTTTAATTTGTTTTTAAATATGTTTATTAGTGCAATAAGGCATGGTAATGACACATATTTCAACAAAAGACAGGAATACAACCAACATTATCCAGTGGGTTTATAAAAAACTGGAGATCTACTCTATGAATGCTGTTAAAATCTTTTGAAGTACTCTGGCTGATCAGTCAGTCCGAAACATTTTTTGCTTCATCTAAGACAGACTGAGCTTCGTTCTTGTCAGCCATTGCTGCCCCACTTGCTGCTTCCTGTTGTGTGTCTTCTCCTTCAGCTTTAATATATTCTCTAAAACCTTTTATCACCGCTCCAACTAAAGCAAATGCCAGTGCGCTTAATGGCATTGAAGAAATGACCACCCCACTCAATACTACACCAATAAAAGCTCCAAATAATGCACCTTTTGTGGCACCTGCCACTTGGATCAAAAGCCTATTAAACATGGTGACCTTACCCTGCTCTCTGGTCTCTCTCTTGTTTTTTGATAAGCATCTAATCTGCTCCTCCTCCTCTTGTATTTTTTTCTCCACTGCTTGTAGCATCTCATTGGTGTAGCAGCTTCCGTTGTTTTCCATCACCATCTTGTCTATTGTGTTAAGTAGCTGGAACCGGTTGCTCCTGTATTTATCTTTTGGGATTTTATTCCAGTATTTATTGTCAACGATGTGGCACCGGCCTCCGCACTTCTTCACAAGATCATTCATAAATTTATTCTTGCAGACAAAATCCTCAATTTTCCATCCTTCACGGAGCTGGTCACCATGAGTGAAGACGACTGTCTTCTGTTTGACCCTGAAAGAAAACAATATCCATCAATAAATATGTACATTTGTCTGTTTTCATACACAAGAAGATAGACATAAGTTCAATTATCTTATATTATTTAAATCTACAAAGGCCCACATTTACCAGTAGATGAACTGTGTGCTGGCAAGGGGTTTAATGTTTTTTGGTGTCTAAATATTTTGGCATATTATTAGGCCTACTGTGAGCCACACAGCTAAGCAACTGGGCTTTTCTGCTGTGAAATGGCAAAAGGTTAGGCCTTTTGAGTGATTATTGTGAATGCTTTGATTAATAAATGTAAATAAATTACTGATTTGTTTGTGATGACAGTTTTGTTTAGTTTTAACAGCTAGCACGTATAGGCATTGTCCACTGTGCTCCAGGTGCTGTGGGTTTCTGATAGGAAAGCAGCCTCTCTGTGTTCTGGGACGTCCAGATTTACAGATTACAGATTTGTGACAGGTGTGATATTTTCTCATTACTGTGCGGCGACTGTTAACCGTTTGTGTTGAATGAATGGTTTATTCATTTATTTATTATTTATATAGAAAAAACTAACAATTTGTGTGAATATGAAATTTACAAGAATCTTATATGTGCTTACACCAATCTATGCACACAAAATTACTTTGCAACTGAAAAAAAGAAGAGGCTGAAGCCCAAAGCTTACACAGTATTTGCCTGTGTGTTAACACATTGACTTGGCACTGACCGACAACATTTATGTTTGATTACAATTTTGCAATTCAGAAGTCGCGGACAAGCCCTGAAGCTGTGAGCAATGCGCGCTCTCTCTCTCCCTCACTCTAGTGCTCTCTCTATGCAGGCAGTCTGACTAACGCTAGTGGGGTGGTCACATAGGTGAACTTCAAATAAAATGTATCAATTATTGCGAGTAGCCTCCGCTCTTTGAAGACCTTAGAGAGAGGCTGAGTCATGAGGATTATCGCAAATTAACATGGAAATATTTTGTTGCTGTTGTTGAGTTACATTCGGGGCTAAAGACCCAGAAAAATGACCTGGCGACGCCGTTGCCTTCAAGCTAAATATGGAAAACTACCACTTCCTGTAAACCTGGTCACAGGTCACAGCTTGAACAGGTTCCTCACTCATACCTCAGTCTTTACTCAACTGTGGTTTGAGCCTGAACACGTCAGCCAGGGATGAGCAACTAACTATCATATTAGCAGTTTTGCTGTTGCTGTTTCTAACCATTAATTTAGGGCTACAACATTTGTAAGCTAGCTGAATTCTCTCTCTAGGAAATGAAGTGCCATAGGATGCTTTATTACTGATTTACTGTACTACCTGGCTTGCATTTCTTATCTACATATTTCAAAATCATATTATTTTTTTACCAGCTATGTAGCCTGTAACCCACACCACAGTCAGCGTGTGAACAACAGTTCTATTTCGTATAGGCGTTGCCCTCTAAGGCTATTGCTATTGGGTTTACCCCTACGCGCAGCTGCGCGGCACTGAGAAAAGTTATCTACACCCACCCACAGCATGGGCTTCACGTCCTCCCCACTCCCCGGCGCGTTCACAGGATCAACGTCACTGTAAGAAAGACTGCCAGCGCCACGGTCGGCCTGAGGCTGCTATGGGCTCAGCTCCCTATGTCGTTCCCCGACCTCCAGCTCCACCAGCCCAGTGTTGCATGCCCAGGGTGCCGGGGGTAGCCTGGCCCCGGGGGAGCGAGTATTAGCTCCCCTCCCCCGGTGGCCATGCCTTGCCGTCAGATTGACTCGCGCGTGCCCACTACGCATACCCGTGATCCTCCCTCTAAGAAGAAGAAGAAGAGCGCTCCTCTTCCCTCCCAGCAGCTCACCTACCTTGGTGTAGTACTGGACTCCTCACTCTGGAGAGCGCAGCTCTCTCAGGAGAAGGTGGATGTTCTGGTGGAGCTGCTCCGTCCTGGTGGTCCCCCTGGGCCTCCTGCACATGAGGAGGTTGCAGTGGTGGTTCATCCACCTGCGTTTTGACCTGGTGAGACAGAGACGGTGCCTGATCGCCTACAGTTCTCAGCCTTGCTGGTGATTCTGGTGCCTCCAGTGGTTGCTGGCGGGGGGGATGCCCCCTGTGGGTCTGGCCGCTGAGAGGTGGAACCTGGAGTGTTTGGTCTCTCCCGTGAGGTGATTTGCACCATCCAGGGGTCAAGAGCCTCTACTCAGTCCTCTTACTCCTCCAAGTGGTCATTGGTCCAATGCTGGTGTTTGAACCAAGGGTGGGAACCGGTGGCCTGTCCACAGCTGGGGGTACTTTCGTTCCTCCAGCTGCTCATGGACAGGGGTTTTGGTGACAGGACTCTCTTTGCTCACCCCCTAGTGAAGCATTTCCTGAAAGGGGTGCGGAGTGGGATTTGGTGCTGGTCTTACGCGCACTAACCCAAGCCCCTTTTGAGCCTTAAGGACGGTGGACCTGAGGTTTCTTTTGGCCAAGGTTGCCTTACTTGTGGCTCTGACATTGGCCAAGAGGGTCAGCGATATGGCTGCCCTCTCTGTGGCTCTGTCGTGTCTCAGGATGACGGGGTGACGGCAGCTCGTCTGTCTCGTGCCCCAATCCTGCATTCATGCCTAAGAGCATCACCAGCTCCTTTGAACAGCGTGGACGGCGAGTTAGGTTAGGCTACTTTTTCACATGGCCTAACACTGCTACTATCACTGCAGTGGAGAGAACAAGAACATGTCACTGCTACTGCTAGTGAGAAACATTTATAGTTTGTAAATGTAAATTATATTCAATTACTATTTCTTATTTCATGGGCTATTTGAGATTCATAATCATTTTCATAAACGAAGCATTCAATTTTAAAAGTTCAATAAATGCATTATTTTTTCAAAGTCAATCAGCAATCCTGTTAATAATCTTGATTTAAATTATGAACAAAATTATCCTGATTATGATTTTTGCCATTATCGAGCTGCCAACATTTGTACCTTGAAACAAAAGGGAATGTTTAGAACGAGGGTAAACTTCAGCATTATAATATGGTGATTAACAATTTTGACTTTCCATTTCATGTGATTTTTCAGGGCCAAAGGAACCTGATGATCCCTATTAAAAGCTGTTACAAAATGAATTTTTTTTACTACAATGGATAGAGTGAAATCCTGCTAACTCAGCAGACATGATAAGCCTTCCCTCCGCTTTTGAGGCCCCATCCACACTACTGCGTTTCTGTTTGAAAACAGAGACCTTTTGCTACGTTTACATCTCCCATCCAGACTAAAACGCAAAAACAAAGACCTAGAACGGCGACGTTTGAAGCACTGCCGACCCTGTTTTTCATTTTGAATCTCTGGGTAGTGTTGTTTATTAAAATATTTTGTACCGTACAAATAACACTTGCCTACACTAAGTTCTGGACTTTAATAGAGTTTAGCAGGTTTTATTGCTCATGTTGAAAACTTAAATAATCCCACATATCTGTGTTCCCTGACAGATGAGATAATTTAATGAGAATTCAAATTAATTTTAAGTCTACCTGCCCTATAAGCTGCTCTGTTGTGCATTACATTATTGCTCTGCTGGTTGAAAGATATCGCCTTCAAGCCGTTTGACCGACACAGTTTGGGACTGCATGCTGCATGTGAAACTTTAATTTTACAAAAACAAGCAAAGCACAAATGTAATTTATGTCAATTATCAGGAGGAAACACTGACCTACACATTAAGTTACAAGACAGAAATAAATCTTAAATCATGTTTTACAGTGCACATGTGCTACGGCTGCCAATAGATCTTCTTCTTTTGTCTTAAAAAAAAACGCTAATAAATGAATAGAGATGATCAGATTTTTGGTACTGCGGTAGATTTATAAATAGCATACAGCCCACTTAAAGCACCGCCCCTTTCAAACAGAAAGTGAAAGTGAAATTAGAAGAAATCCTGCGTCAGAGCACAGGATAAAGATACACACAGGACGGTTGTTTGATAGATCCAAACGGTGTTTTCCTCTTCACTGATCTCTCTTATAACAACATGGACGGTGAGTAAAGGTTACTTCTTTCACTTTGCCAACACTGCTCACTGAATGGATATTTTAATGTTACCCAACAATAACGTATAATCGGGAAACACATGGGCATATTTTGCGAAATTAGCCTTGCAATAATATTTGAAACAAGCTGTAGACTAATTATTGTAGGCCTAATCAACAATCAGTAACCAGACGGGAAGTGAGTAAGCTATTTTCATAAGGCAATCGAAAAGGGAGGTGCGGACAGCCACAAGCGGGACGCATCCCGTGAAACAGTCATGCTCGTGCTCGACTCACGCACACGCTCGCCCGCTGCCAGAACTGAATTGTGTGGAATTTTTTTTCCGCAACGCTTCGGCACAGCGCATCAGTGGACGAGGGACTGATGTGAGTGTTTTCCATAACAGTTGTGGGGATATTTAAACAGTCTAATTCCTTAAAATTTAAACAAATCTAATAACTTTACAAAGCTGGAGCAGCTCACTGAAATAAATGATTTGCAGTGTAGTAATATTTATTAGGTTAATGGTCACAATTGTAAGTAACAGTGAGAACTGGAATTATTCAATTATATATGTCATTCATGTAATAAATAAACTGTGTGGGAAGAGTATTCAAAGGTTTCATAGTCATGGCCAAAACACAAAAAGACAACGAGGGCGGTCCGGTTTAATGGACAGGAGCAGCAAAAACATCTTGAAGGTAAGTCAGTTAGGATTTTTCCTGCATATGTAACTGGGGTTAAAATATAATATTATCCCACTTGCCTTAATCATACATCACATATCAATGTAGCTTAATTTTACTATGGTCACTACACACAACGCACCTGTCTTGTAGTTTTAATGTAGTGTTTCTTGTAGTATTCTGTAGTTTTAATGTAGTATTTCTTGTAGTATTCTGTAGTTTGAATGTAGTATTTCTTGTAGTTTTAATGTAGTATTTCTTGTAGTTTTAATGTAGTATTTCTTGTAGTATTCTGTAGTTTTAATGTAGTATTTCTTGTAGTATTCTGTAGTTTTAATCTAGTATTTCTTGTAGTATTCTGTAGTTTTAATGTAGTATTTCTTGTAGTATTCTGTAGTTTGAATGTAGTATTTCTTGTAGTTTTAATGTAGTATTTCTTGTAGTATTCTGTAGTTTTAATGTAGTATTTCTTGTAGTTTTAATGTATTATTTAGTCTTTGTGTTTTTGTCCTTAAGCCCAAAGCAAAAACTTTCTACATTTGACACAGTGCTCTCTCAAGCAGCAGCTACAGCAAGCTCTGTCACAAGCAAAGCCATCTGGCTATTCAGGTACAAAAAAAAATGCAGTGCTTTGCCCTTCATATGTTGTAAGAGGTTTACCATCATCACAGAATATACATACTATTCCAAATTAAAATGAAGCAGAATATATTGTGAATTGTGAAGTTATGTGTTGCGCCACATAAAATGTAATGATACAAACGTTGAAAGGACAATCTGATGTTATAACTATTCTCGTGATATGAATATAGCACAAGAAATGTTGCTTCTCCATTATCCCTGGCATTAAAGTAACTTTGAGTACGATGCATTAATAGATTTCTTTGTATTTTACAGCCTCCACCGGAAAAGTTCTCCTGCTACAGATATCTCTCATTCTTAGTTTTAAGTTGACTTTTATGCTGATATGAAAAAAAGGTTTTTGTGTGAGTCTGTGACAGACAGGGACAGAAATGAGAGGGCAAAAAATAGAGGTAGAGAGAGATGCACCTGAGCTTAACAGAGGAAAATAAATTCATAAAATTGATATTTCACTCTGGTTCCCGAACCACAGTTTGGGAAAGGTTAAGTTAAAGTTTCAAGTGCATACAGTTACTGTGAAGTGGATGAACCTGCAGCAGTTAAGATTAATGCCCTCAGAGGACCAATCAATGCAGATCCAGGATATCATAGTTTTGTATGAATTTTGATGTTGCTTCTATTGACAACATGTATAGATTAGTGAATTCATATAGTACTTTCTACACAAGTATCTTCTGTCTGTTAAAACAGTGACACGTTGAAGCAAGGTGGGAGGCCATTATTCGCGCCCTGATGGAATTCCTGGGGGAGTCTTCAGGGGAACTAATCGAGGACTACAAGAAAAACATTTTCAGATCACAAAGTTCACTTGAGCACATTATTATTACAAGTGTATAACTTGAATAAGAACATGGATTCACATATATGTTACAGGATATCAGCAGAGAGGACTCTCAAGAGGAGCAAACTGAGCAAGTCCTGAGGATCTGTGTCTTCCACACAAGTGAAGAAGATGAAGGTGCATCCGACACTGTCGATTGTTATTGAAAGGACTGAGGTACTTGACAACTGTGGAAGTGTTGCAAAGGCCTGTCTTCTGCATATGGGCATCACTGAAGGTTCCTGAAGCATGTCAAATGTTTTTTTTCAAGAGTTTAAGGTTTAAAAGCATATCCAAAAGATAGGCTACGTATGCTCTATGCAAACAGTTCCTGAACTTGTCCTTGTGCCTTTTAACAAGCTACCTCAAACCCATTATAGCCAACCTAAGATGAAATTTCTGTCATCATCTACTCACCCTAGAAGGACTGAGTAGGGAGTTTGCCGAGATCTTTTTTCTTACAAAACTGCAGGGAACGGCAACTTGGTTTCAAACATCCAAAAAATATGTCATGTATCAAAGAAATGTCTCCATACTGCTCATCTGAAGTAATGCAAGTGTCCTGCAGCTTACACACTTCCTAGATATTTTGAAAAAAACATAACAAAATTGTGTTTGCTCAGCTTCCTCTGTGGTGCTGCGTGAACATGGATGGGGTAGCTGGAAGTTAGTAGTGTGTACTAGTTGTTTCTGGCATTGGAAGGAGCACACATGGGAAGAGCAGAGGAGCAAACTAAGCTGAACACAAGATTGTAATGTTTTTTACAAACGTCTTGGCACGTGTGATCTACAGGACACTCAGAAAGGCAGTATGGAGACATTTTATTGATTATTGATGTATTTTTGGACGTTTGAAGCTAAGATACTGCTCACTGCAGTTGAGTTGAAAAAATGTCTCTCAAACTTGCAGAAGAACACGGATATTAACAAAACTTCACCAATCCTTCTATTGACAAAGGGGTGAGTAAATAATAACAAAATTAATCTTAGGGTGAACTATACCTTGTTGTTTTGCCATGCAAACTTGCTGGAAAATGTTTTATTGAAAAAATAATTTTTCACTTAAGAAAAATAAATGGGTTGTTAAATGAAACAGTTGCCTCATTTTTTGTGTTAATTGTTTCAATGAATATTATGTAAAATGTTGTGTAAATGTTACTTAAATATAGTCCATAAATAAAAGATAGAAAAGGTATTTAAAAATTACCTTGAAAAGGTTGGTTTTAGGTGATATTTTTCAGTTTGAAGCAGTCAGTGTTTAAGTAAAACTTACAAAGAAGTAGAGTGAAATTCAATAACCATATTAATAAACAACAGTAAATTACCTGAGGTTTGCTAGTAAAGGAAACTTGTATTAGCAAGTAAAGTTTACTTGATGATTTCCCTTGTTGAATTTAAAAAGTGGAAAAACTTTCCTAGACTTTCCCAAGTAAATAACACTCCAAACTTTTCACTGCTGGTCTAAAGCCTATAGGTAAACTAAACACTACGTCTCTCACAGAGAAATAATTGGCATACAGAACTAAACTATACTCGCATGTAAACTGACTAACGGAACTAATTTGATCTTTCAATCCTTTCTAGTTGGCTATATATTTTAAATTAGATTTAATGGCTTAAGTGTGGCACAGACAACTGTCTTAGTGTGTCAATGTTAGCACTCCACAAGTGCTGTCTAACCATTGTGAGTCTATGGAAAAACAACACAAGTGTTTGCAGTCACAGCATTAAACATAATTTATACAGTATTACCTTGAAACAAAGGGGAGTGTTTGGACATAATGGAGGGTAAATGTCAGCATTATAATATGTTACGCTAATTAATTATTTTCACAAACCAAAAATGTCATGTGATTGTTAAGGTGTTACTAATCATAGTATCCTGTTATACTGTGAAAAAATCCACCCTTTATTATATTATTACCAAATTATTATTCCATTGATGTCACCATATTAGAAGATACAAATAAGGAAGGACTAAATAACACACAAAATAACTAAACCAAATCCAAATCCAGTTTTTAATGTGTCATATTAAAAGCTGTTTACAGAATGATCCTCAGTGGTCTTTACCACAATAGATTACCTTATTGTTGAAGAGTGATTGATAGGCTACTGAAATGATTTGAGGTGTTCTTGATCAATAAAATACATGCAGGCTTCTTTTATTTATTGATACCAATGTTCATATGTGTATCATGCTAATGCAGCTATTTTATAGCGAAATAATTTCAAAACACAAATTTACAGTATAAATGACTGGTTATTTTCTTTCAGGGTCAAACAGAAGAATTGTCATCTTGGGAAAAACTGGAGTTGGAAAAAGCAGCCTGGCTAACACCATATTTGGAGAGGAACTGTTCGAGATCGATGATTCTCTCGACTCTGGAACAAGAAAATGTCAAGTAGAGACCAGATCTGTCAATGGAAGAAGCATCACTTTGATCGACACTCCTGGTTTCTTTGACACTGATAGATCTGAGGAGGAGCTGAAGTCTGAGATAGTGAGCTGTATCATAAAGTGCGCTCCTGGTCCTCATGCTTTTCTCATTTTGCTTAAAGTAGAGAAAGTCACAGAGCATGAGCAGGCTGTCATCAACAAAATAAGCCAATGCTTTTCTGAAGAAGCTTTCCAATATGCAACAGTTATCTTTACTCATGGTGACCAGCTCCGTAAAGGACAGAAAATTGAGGATCATGTCCAGAAGAACGAGTTCACGAGTGATCTGGTGAAGAAGTGCGGAGGCCGTTGCCATGTCGTTGATAATAAATACTGGAACGAAAACCCAAAGGATGAATACAGGAGCAACAAGTTCCAGGTGGAGGAGCTACTTAAGTCAATAGACAAGACGGTGATGGAAAACAACGGGAGCTGCTACACCAATGAAATGCTACAAGCAGTGGAGGAAGAAATACAGCGAGAGAAGAAGCAGATTCAACTGTTACCAGGAGACAAGTCAGAGAAAGAGATCAGAGAGCAGGCTGAGGGCAGAGTATCCACAAAGCTTTCGGTCAGATTAGCAGGTATTGCAACAGGTACGTTGTTAGGAGCTTTATTTGGTGTGGTAGTGATGGTTGAATTAGTTGTCGTAGCTTTAAAGAATATTGCAGCAGGAGCAACAGCAGCAGGAGGAGCAGCAGCAGGAGGAACAGTAGGAGGAGCAGCAGCAGCAGCTGTTATAGGGGCATCTGCTGTGCTGGGAGCAGTGATAGGAGGTTTTAAAGGCTATAATGCAGCTGAGGGAGCAGACACCCCGCTGGAAGCAGCACTGAAAGCAGCAGGTGCTGTCAAGAGTGGAGACCTGCATGTTTTAGATTAAGCAAATGATGTTATGGAAGAAATATTTTATCCAAAGTCAAAACAGAGTTAAAACCTTTAAGGAGCTCTGACTCTCGAAGAAGCAGGAGAAATTCTTTCTTTAAACTATCTCCAACCACTGAGCTGGTTGTGTATTTCTATTTTCTGCTACTTTGTACTTCTACTCCACTAAAGTTCAGAGTCAAATATTGTACTTCTATTTCTTCTATTATTTCTTCTAAATTTCTATTTAACTTAGTATAACCAAATTAACAATACGAAATACAATTAAAAGCATGATACAATATTACAAATTAAGATAAAACTATGTTAATCACCATGGGGACATTCACAAGATATAATGTAGCTAAAATGTCCCTGAACTTTACTAACTTCAACATTAAAGTGATGATTACACATTGATGCATTAATAATTATAATCCAATCATATACATTTTTCTGAAATTGGTAATTCTGCATAATGAGTACTTTTACTTTTGGTTAAAAAAGTAGCCTATATTTTTAAACACATCTACTTCTGCAGGGTGGTGCGGTGGTGCAGTGTCTCACCATTTGACATTAGTTTTGTTTGTTATTTACCCAAAGCATTAGGCTTTAATTATCCTAGACAAGCAAGCCTGTTGATTATCTCCATTCTGGTCAGCGACCCTGTGGTCGCTCAAGTGGTACAAGACTGTGCTTCATCTTCTCCATGGCTGAGGTGTTGCCACCCCATCTCCTTTGTGCTTTGATAATACAGTTAAAAAGACAACTGCAGTATGCCTCTGTTTCTCCTTCTCACCTTGTATTCAGTAGCTAAATGAAATAAGTGGTGAAAATGCACTTTTTTCTTTACTGCCAATGTTGACTGTGAGTTAAGGTTACCTCTTATTCTTTAGACAACGTGATATCCAGTCTTTTCCGCAAGTTTGCAGTTTGCCGTTTATTTCTTGCGACCACTTACAATAAATAATACGTAATATAAAGTAGAATAAACAACATAATCTGAGCACAGTTAAAAATTGTTTGCTGCTCTTCTTCAATTAACCACATCTGTTTGTAACAATAATAATAATAATAATAATAATCTTTATTTGTAGAGCACTTTTCACAAACAAGTTACAAAGTGCTTTAACAAGTGTAAAGACAATAATACCCAAGAGACAATAATACAAAAACAATACAAGATAAAAGCATGAAAACATTGAAAAGACAATTTTTTTTTTAAACGTTTAAGATAAATATAAAATTAGTAAAATACAATAAAATAAAAGGGATAAAATAAAGTCAAATAAGATCGGGAAAGGCTCTCCTATAAAAGTATGTTTTAAGAAGGGACTTAAAAGAGTTCACTGACTCAGCCGACCTGATTTCTTTGGGCAGGCTGTTCCAGAGCCTCGGGGCCCTGACAGCAAACGCTCTTGTAACACAGATGAAATGATCTAGGTTTAAAAATAGGAAAAGCCTATAAAAATCTGAATGAGTGATTTTATTTTTGAAATGCAACTTGAGAGATTATCTAAGGATTTTAAAGGCCCGCCCACCTGCTCCCGCGTCTCTGGGAGCGAGCGAAAGTTTTTTTTTTTTTCCCCCGCTGCTGTGTGTGTGTGGAGAGACAGAAGTGCTAAGCTGCTGTAGAGGATGAAAACTGTGAAAAACGGAGAAACCTGGAGAAAATACAGCTAAAAACGAACTACACTGAGGCTAACTTCAACACTACAAACGTGGTAGCTAACTGCAGTAAGAATTTAGTTGTAAGTTCAGTGTTTAGATATAGCGCTTGAGCAGCGTCGGTAGCTTTGATGTCCGTAGGATTCCCCGCGACGCGCAGTCTTTGCTGATTCAAGAGCGAGGTAATTCATTTAAAACTGCTTTTGTTCATTCTTTATCACCTTACTGTGAAAGCTAATTTATTTTGCACTGAGAGAAAGTACTGAAAGTTGCATACGGTCTCGTATGTTTCGTTTTAGAAGACCTTGTAGCTTTACTGGGCGCCGCCATTTTGGGTGTGTGTCCAGCCGCTCTGGTGAAATCGGTGAGACTGTTCATTTTCAACTTAGGAATTTCACTTACTTTGTACCTTAAATTATTTATGTGCACTTAGTGAATATGAAGCTACAATTTTAGTTGAACAAGCTGGTTTACTGTGTTGTTTAATGTGTAAACTCAGCTTACTTTATTTTGCACTTGCATCAAAACTTTAATTGTTCTAACGTGCAGCTTATTGGTGCAGCTTATCCGGTTGTGTGCAGCCGGTTATTTTATTTAGTTATTTATGTTTATATGCTGAATTTGAGAGAGAGGCACAGAAAGTAAACACCCACAATATGTATATCATTGTGTATTGTGAATTTCATGTAGTGTATATTATTGCATGAGACTTAAGCAGTGAATATTTCTCTGACCCTGTCTGTTGACAAGTCAGGTTTTTTGTTGTGTGTGCGTGTTTCTTCTTCCATTGTCTGGATTGGATCTGCGGATGAAAATTGATGGCGAGCCGTCCCTCTTGAATGATTGTGGGAGCCATTCCCTCTTCAGGATCACTGGACCTGTCCCGCTACTACTGCACTTTGCGGTGGGGTAGGCCCCACTACAACACAAAACCCCTTAACTCACCTTCACACTCCTTCCCCCACACACATACATACACCAACCCTATGGAACTCTGACTTACCTTCGACACATCCATTTTTTGTTTGGACTTTGGACTCTCTTAAACAAACTCACCTGTTCACACCTTGGGACTGAGAATTTGGAGCTGAGTAGTAGGAATCATTCCTGCAGTTAAGGGTTACTGTTGTACTGTGTGAATTCTACAGGATTGTATTATTGAACTGGATCTGAACAAACTTGAATGTGGTGTTATTAACAGAAATTCAGGTTTAAAGGGTGCACCCGGGAATTTAATTATAGAACTACTTCAAAGAGTGAAATACTCAACTAATACTAAATTTGGAAAGCAAGCATTTCATGCTGATGTCATAGCCTGATTGTGATATCAATAATCGCCTTATTCATTACTTGTTTTATTATTGTACTTTTTCATTTTTGGTACCAACCAATATTTTTATTTTTATACATATCTTCAAATATAAGAAGCCGGCATCATCTTACATCTAATCCTTGGTCTCTGAGTCTCATTTTAAACACCTCACTTTTGCTCCAGCAGCCGAACCAACTGACTTAACCAACCAATCAGATCACAGCCCTACCCATAATCCTTCCTGTGTGCTACACTCTGTCCCCTTTAGTTTTCAGTCGAGACTCTGGAACAGACAGCAGACCTCTGCCTGGGGATCTCAAGGTGCGTGCTGGTGTGTATGGGACTAAAAGGTCAGAAATATAACAAGGCGAGAGGCCATGAAGAGCTTTAAAAGTGATCAATAGAATCAATTCTAAAACATACTGGGAGCCAGTGTAATGAAGCTAAAATAGGAGTAATGTGGTCATATTTCTTTGTTCTGGTTAAAAGCCTGGCAGCTGAGTTCTGGACAGTCTGGAGTCGATCAATAGATTTATGGGTTAAACAGGTGAAAAGGCTGTTGCAATAATCCAGGCGTGATGAGATGAAGGCGTGTAAAATGGTCTCGGTGTCCTTAAAAGTTAACATAGATCGAATTTTTGCTATATTTCTAAGTTGATAAAAACATGATTGAACAAGCTTTGTGGTGTGCTGCTCGAAATTTAAATTACTATCAAACCAAACACCAAGGTTCTTTGCCACAGGCTTAATGTGATTTACTAGGGAACCAGCAGATGGCAGTATTTGATTTGCCATCTGCTGGGACCCAATGACCAGGATTTCTGTTTTGTCTTGAGTTCAGCTGGAGGAAATTATTTGACATCCATTTTTTAACTTCACAAAGGCAGTTGTTAAGTGAACTCAGCATTCCAGGGTCTGTGGATCTGACGGGCAAGTATATTTGTGTGTCATCAGCATAAATATGAAAAGAAATGCCATGTTTATGGATAATATGTCCAAGGGGAAGCAGATACAAGGAAAACAAAATGGGTCCTAAGACCGACCCCTGAGGCACACCATATTTAACTGGACAGAACGAAGAGACATAGTTGTTTACAGATACGCAAAACTTCCTATTTGACAGGTAGGATGAAAACCATTCTAGGGCAGTACCAGAGATCCCCACCCAGTGCCTCAGTCTGTCTAATATGATGTTGTGATCAATGGTGTCAAAAGCAGCGCTAAGGTCCAGGAGTACCGGGACTGAGCACATGCCTTCATCAGCAGACATTAAAAGGTCATTGGTGACTTTAAGCAGGGCAGTCTCAGTGCTGTGGTACTTCCTAAAACCAGACTGAAACTTTTCAAATAATTTGTTATTTTCCAGTACAGTGAGCAGCTGTTTGGACACAATTCTTTCTAGAATCTTTGCAATAAAAGGCAGTTTTGAAATTGGTCTAAAATTATGTGGGAGGGAGGGATCTAAACCAGGTTTCTTTAAAAGTGGGTTCACGCAAGCCGTTTTAAAATAATCAGGGACACAACCAGTAGATAGGGAGCTGTTGAAAACAGAGACCAAATGGGGCCCAACAGAATCCATTATTTTCAGTAAAAACTTTGTAGATATTACATCAAGTGGGCTGGAGGACACTCTCATTTGTGATACTGTTTTTAAAAGCTCAGACAAGGCGATGGGATAAAACTGGTTAAAACGCTCTTGTTGCTGGTGAGGAACCTCTGAGTAAGAGGCCGCGGGGGTAATAGAGGCTCTGATTGACACCACCTTATTGGTAAAATAAGATAAAAACAATTCACAGTCATCATTACTTCCAGCTGAGGCACAAGGAGGGGTTGGGTTTACCAGCTGAACTACAGTCTTAAACAGAAAGCTGGGATTGTGTTTGTGTAGTAACGAGTTCAGAAAAATAGTGTGTTCTCGCATCCTTAACCAAGTTATTGTATTTAATTAATAAATCCTTCAGACTGAGGTAATGGACTTGGAGACTGGATTTTTTCCATCTGCGCTCTGCTTTCCTGCATTCCCTTTTTAGGCTGCGAATGCTGTCATTTATCCAGGGTTGCTTACTAGCTTTAGACGTAGGCCTAACCTTTAGAGGAGCAGTAATATTTAGTGACGACAAGCAGATATGATTGAAGTGATCGACTAGATTGTTGGTGTTGGAATCAGACAGATGTTGGCTTTGGCTCTGAAAGAATGTGAACACTTTGTTCATTAAAGATGCGAGAACACACGGAGCTTGGTGAGGCGACATGAGTAACAGGCGAATCACAGCTAAAAACAATACATCTGTGGTCAGATATGGTCATGTCCACTAATTCCACAGAGGAAATGCTGACACCCAGGGTAAAAACCAAGTCTAGTGTATGACCACGGTTATGTGTTTGTCCTTTGACATGTTGTTTGAAGTTAAAAGAAGTGGCCATATTTAAAATGTCAGTTGCATTAACATTGTTGGGGTCATCAACATGAATATTAAAATTGCCACAAAGAACAATTCTGTCATAATTTAAAACCAGAGTAGATAAAAATTCAGGAAGTTCTGATTAAATTCATCACAGCGTACTTGATGACATTTAAAACTTTTCCTATACACGCTCACTAGCGCACCACGTCCACTGACCCTCGGTTGACTAAAACAATCATATTGACACAGTTCAGCTAGCTGGCTATAGTCATTCATTTGCAACCATGATTCAGTTAAAAACATAAAATCTAGATTTGCAGACAAGATAAAATCATTTAAGATAAAAGTCTTACTTGAAAGTGATCTCACATTGAAGAGAGCCATTTTAAATGAGTTTGTTCTGGGTGCTGGAGTTGGTGCAGTTGTCCTAATCCTTAAGAGATTACTAATATTTCTGTGTGGGACGTGCACATTTCGGTTACTGGTCTATGCGTGATGATGACAGGAATAGAAGTCCAACGCTGGGAGCAGACAGCTTTACATGCCAGCAGGTGGAGACAGTTGGCAGTGAGGCAGAGATCTGTTCAGTGAGCGGTGGTGTGTCCAGGTGTGCTGCATGAATGATTAGTCATTCACGTAAGTCATGTGTGGACCGCACCACATGCTGTATGTGAGCAGCTAACATTTCTGAGCCCCGTTTCTTTGGGTGAAGTCCGTCTGTCTTAAAAAGAGGCATTCTTTGCCAGAAAATATTACAGGAACTCAAATAGGCTGAGGCCAGCATTTGCCTCAGCACACAAAACAATATCATGCCCCCTGTGGCTTGGAGGAAAACGGGCAGTATGGCTCCTACACCAATGATATAAACACTTTTCTGAAACTGGTCATTCCTGCGTAAAAAGTACTTTTTAAAATATATTTATTTTATTTATGTGCAAGGACAGTGCATATTAACATGACAGCTCAAAATATGCCACACTGCAAATTTTTTCGTTGTGAATTTAAAATAATTAATTGGATAAATTTTGTTTGATTTTCACAGTAAGGATTACAGCGATATACTGTGAAATATACTCACAGCAATTTACTGTAATTTTATATCTGTGATGTTACAATGCATTGTTGTAAAAGCACAACTGTATACTGTAACTTCACAGCTTCAATGACAAAGGAATTACTGTGATATTACAGTACATTACTGGGGAATTACAATCTTTTGCTGTACATCATTACAACAAGGCCCTGTACTTACTACTACAGTGTGTACTGTGAAAGTAATGTACAAGTTGACAATAACTTACTGTGAATTTGCAATGTATACTGTGGAAGTCATGCTAAAACAGTAACGTACTGTAAAAGTAATACAGATGAAGCTTCCATTTACTGTGAATTTACAATCATTGTACAATTAACCCCCTCCCCCCAACAAACAACTCTGAGGTAAATTCAATGTTAGCCCAATGGCATATTTATTAACAAATAAATATTTTTCAATGTACAGCAGATGCCAAGAACTTCAAGAGTTCAAGAAATTCAACTTTCTAGTCCTAAAAGCCATCTTAAAATGCAGAAAATTGTGCCAACTTGCAATTAAACTACCTGTTTCACAATTCAACTATTCAACTAGCTGTGTCACAGTAACAGTAATGGACAGGATGGGAATGAGGCCTTCACGGCAAGATAAGAGAGCGGAGAGGGAGAGAGCGATGAAGGAATGTCTTAAAGGGGTCAGGTGCTCCTCTCAGTCTCAAACATTATAATGAGTCGACACACAACAGCATTGTGTAAAAATCTTGTAGTGCAAAGTTGTCTTGAAAAATTACAAAAAGAACAAGGCTACTCAAATCTGAGCCTGACAACTACCGCTGCAAAAAAAAAAATTATGCCCACTCAAAGTCAATAAGTTTCCTCAAAAGGGTGCTCACATGAAGGTTCATTGTTGTCCGCTTCTTGGTCTTTGAGCCTCTTTCAGGATTGATGCCCAGGAAGCACCTGTTAATAAGCAAAGATAGTTTCTGTTTTAAATAGACTTACAGTATGTATTGCAGACAGCATTTATCAAGGTGTGCTTTTTGCTGTGCTTTTTCCCCACATCAAACCCTAATAGATTTATAATCCAAACTTGTTAGATCTTACTCTCACCATAATTTCTTTTAGCCATTTTTAGCCAAGGTGCCTCAGGTTAGGTTTGCCTGAGGCAAAGTGGTTGATTTTCTACTATGAGAGGCCATATCAACGTGCGCCGCCACTGAAATGCATCTTCACGCAATTGGCCAGTAAATTAAAACCAAAACCTGTTGAAAGTGAATGACAAACACATCCTTTTCAATTAAGGGCCTGAGAGCATTTTGTTCTGCTTTTAAAGAAAATTTCATCTACTTCATTCAATACATTCGCATTTCGCAATAGACGTTTCGAAATCACATAGCCTACCCAAAAAACAAAATAAATAGCTGTGATTGGACCGGCGGGTATTTGTCAGCATAACATGTGTAGAAAACCAGACTGATCTGCAGACCGAAATTGAATGAGTTCGCGAGATCAGGATGGTCTCAACAGGCTAGCCTCAGGTACCTCGTTTGTCAGCATTTTAGACCTCAAGACAATCATTGAGTTGGAAGCCTGTACTATAATGTGAATTACAAGATTAAATGTCATCTTTATAAAATACCTTTGAAAAAGAAAAGAAAAAGGTGAAATTACACAAAGGCAACCAACAATAAGAATGTCAG